CCAAAAATCCCCAGGGCACTTCTCCCATCCTATCCCACTCTCCTTCCTTTGGGAACCGCAGCGTGTAGCATCAGCAAGGTGTTGTTCTTCTCCTTAGCAGATGTCCCACCCTCTCCCACACCCGAGGAAGAGAGAGCTCCATCTCCACCACCTGAACCTGTTCTGAAAACTGAGCTGGAGCCTGCATCCACAGAGGTGAGAGCAGATTAGAGTGATTACCTGCTTCCAGGTAATGAGAAATAAGTTCCTGGTTTCTCAGTGCTGCCATGTCCTCCAGGTGTCAGCTGGAGGGAGGAAGAGGAAGCGGAGGCGCGTGCTGAAATCCAAGATGTTTATTGATGAAGAGGAAGGCTGCATGGGTAAGACTGGCTGTGCCCTACACTCACTCACTGGAGCTCACTTTATTGGCCATTTTAACAGGCCAGCCTCTCCCAGGATAGAAAGAGGTTCACAAAATCACTTAGTTATCCCACTTGGAACTCCTGCTCCCAGACTGAGGTAACTGAGCCTCTGGTGAAGGCCTGGGTAGGGAGTCAGAGCTGTAGCTGAATCCTTACCCTTTTTTGATTATTCACAGATTTTCCTTCAGTTATTTTCCCTTTTACCCTGCCATCATGATTACCACCTTCGTTTACTCTCCTCTCCAAAGCTGCAAGCCTTTAAAGACAGTACAGAAAGAGGTTTAGGGTCTGGGATAAATTCTGGCTGAGATAACTTTCTTGGGTTTTTTTTTTTTTTCCTTTGAGGATAAATCCAGAACTGTGCAAAACTTGATTATATGTTAAAGAAACATAGAGTATCCCAGATAAACAGTGGGGCTTAAATACTTCATAGGGTTTCTGTTTCTGATAAGGGTGGCTCTGCTTTCAGAAGGGAAGAGAGTCCCTACAGAGGTCCTGAGAGCCAGAGTGGAACATCAGTGGAATGTGTTTTTTGTAATTCTGTTGTCAGCTGGATTGTGTGGGATGCTTTGGTTCCCCAGCCTGGCTGGGCTGAGGGGATGTCAGTGGAGCTCAGGCCGTGCTGGGGAAGATGTGGTGCTGTTGTACAGGTCTGTGCTGGTGCTGGCCATGGAGACACTCGGGCATTCCTGGCCCAGCTCCGGGGCTGCCTGGCCCAGACTCAGCCTGTGTCTGTTTGCACCTGTCTGCAGAGCTGCATCTTCTGTTTCCCATTAACTTGGTGTGTCTCCTTTAGAGAAACACAAAGCTGTGGCTCTCAGCAGCTGGCTGCACTGGGACTGAAATCCCGAGTACTGCTTTCTTGTCCAAGAATTGGACTTGCACAGAGTTTTCGACAGCTTTGGCTGATTACCCTGTGGGGTGTTCTCCTCTCCCATCCCAGACAGAGCCATTGAAACACTTGGAAGGAAAATGGACCAAAATAGCATTAGATGGGGAGCTGAGTTGTACAGACTCTGCATCCAGAGCACAGGAATGTCTCTTCTGGGTTCAGCTGGGAGCATTGCCTTTCTTTCTCTGCTCTTGACCCCCACAAGGTTTCACAGTCCCTTGGAAAATCCAGACTCCTGGTTTTACAATTCATATCCCTTGCTCTGACAAGGGAATGCAAGGCCCTTGGGAGATAGATCCTGTGGGATGGAGCTGGATACTGAGGAACTGGCTGGGGAGGGGATGCTGCTTTCTCTACTGCAAATCCTCCAGCCTGTTGTGCAGAGCTTGCTGTCTGGCTGTTGTCCAGTTTCTCTTCTCCCTTCCATTCCACACCCTTTCCATGCACAGGCCTAATAATTCAAAGGCTAAATAACTTGCAAATCTCCCAGGCTAATGTAAATTTTGGTTATTCTTTGAAATAGAGGGTTTTTCCCCTCTCCCTGCTGTCTTTTTATTTTTAAACCAACACTAGGTTTTAAGAGGTTTTAATCCTAACATTAGAATGAGGGTCTACTTTATATTTCTCCACAATTTTAAGTGATGGTTTTCATAATAGCTGCAATAGCAAGGAATTGGTGTCAAAAAGCAAAAGTAATTTAGGGATTAGTCCTGAGGGAAATTGAGCAATTAAAGTGTGTGTGGAGTTAAGCACAAGAAACATTCCTAGGCATCAACAGAAATGCATGGATTGAGGGCCTGCTCTTAGTCTCTAGTGTAGGGGAATTATTGAGGTTTAAGCTTGTGTGTTTCTACCTTGCACTTTCTAAAGCTTCAAAGGACACACATGGGCTTGGAGGCTGGAACATCCACATGTGCATTGGAGGGAAATTTGTGTTACAGCGCTTGAGAGCTCCCATCATTTGGGCTGCTCTGATTCAGGGAGTCTGGCTGTGAGTGGGGCATCAGGAGCTGCATCCGTGTACCCATAGGTGCTGCACATACAGACTTTGAGTTCAGCTGAGACTGCAGCCAAAGAAAGCTGATCTAAGCTGTGTTGCTGCAATTGGAGGGGGTTAACTGCACACTTCGGGAGCTCCCAGCAGTTCCTGACAGGCTGACAACAGGATAAGGGTTTTGGGTTCACCCAGTGGTCTGGGAAAGCTGCTCCCTGAAAAGCCTGTTGCCTCTGAAGGGAGATTGCTTGGTTTGCAGTCCCTGTCTGAGGTCCTGCTAGCACTGCCCAGGAGGATTTCATAGCATTCCTCTTCCCAGTCCCTGGTGACGTAGGAAACCTTATTTAATTTGATGCATTAATACAAGTGAAAGCCAGTTTCCCAGAAGAAGGGAAGTTAAGACATCTGTTTAAAAGAATACAGTTGCTAAAGAAAAATGGCTTACTAGAAGAATCCCAGAGCACTGCTGGGAAAGCTGATATAACAACATTTGCTGGGATCTGACGGTGGCTTTCATCAGTGGGGCTGACTCCAGTTTAATTTCCGTGAGGTTGTTTTATATCCCTGGGCTTTCCACCGCCGGACGCTGACAGCAGCGAGCTGGCAATCCCCTTCAGGCAGAGCCCCTGATTGCAGACACGGCTTTGGGCTGATTTTTATAAAGGGTTTCTTTATATTGGCCCTGTTTGGCCACCTCTGTGGAAAGAAGCTGCCCCAAAGGGTTTGTGCCCCTGGAGACGGGCGGCGTCTGCTTTGCTCTTCCCTAGCTGTCCAGTGTGCTGGTGAGAGCAGCTTGGGGATGTCTCCAGGTTGTCTTGCCTGCATTTCTGGAAAATCTGATTGCTTTGGCCCCTGTGGAAATCAGACCAAGTCAGAATGGTGGGGTTTAGCCATAAAGTAGATGTTCCATTGCCTAATGCCAAACTACTGATTCTGATCTCCTTCAGATTCATCACTTTCTGATGGCTGCTTGTCAGCCTTTGCTGTATGAGTTAGAATCTCAGGATCACTGCAGTTGGAAAAGCCCTCTAAGGTCATTGACTCCAGCTGTTCCCCCAGCACTGCCAAGGCAACACTGGCCCATGTCCCCAAGTGCCACATCCACACGGCTTTTAAATCCCTGCAGGGATGAGGACTCCACCACTGCCCTGGGCAGCTGTGCCAGGGCTGGACAGCCCTTTCAGGGAAGGAGTTTTCCCTCACACCCAACCTAAACCTCCCTTGGCACAACTCAAGGTCATTTCCTACTGCTTAACTTTGGACTTAATTCCTGTGTCTCACATGTGCTCCTTAAACCCGAAGCGTTCCTTTCCAGGAGTGCAATGGGAAGGCTGCAGTGGGGAGGTCTTTGGTGTAAAGATGGCTTAACCATCATCATCCTCTGCTCCCTTCCCTGTTCTTTCCACCAGTGACTGAGAAGGTTTACGAGAGTGAATCCTGCACGGACAGCGAGGATGAATTCCCCAAGCCCAAGGCACCAGCTCCACAAAAACAGCCCATGCTCCCCACCAAGAGAGAGCCAAAGGAAGAAAGGAAGAACGCAAAGAAAGGGGCAGCTCCTGCCAGCAGAGCCAACAAACAGATCTCCATCATGGGATTTTGCCAGAAGAAATGAACTGGCTCTATCTCCTCTTGGCAGCTTGGGAGTGTTGCTCCCTTTTTTCGTGTGGCTCTCTGCAAGCTGCTGCTGCTTGTGGGGCCAACATGCAACCCCTGGTTATGCAAGGTGTCCTGCTTACTGTGTAAGGAAGCCCTCTGGACTAGATTTTGTATCAGAGAAAAGTTTTTATTTGTTACTGCAATAATTTCAGTCATCACTAGGCGCTGTGGGAACTGCCAGCTAGAGGCAGCATCTAGAGGAACTCTTGAAAGGCTGTTAAATCTCTTCACATGAAATTGTATTTTTTTAATCACTTCTTTGGTGCTAAGTTAGGAGAGGAGTTGTGGTGTTTTCCTCCCCTCTTTGTACACCCCCAGCTCTTCAGATTGGTCCAGATGTTCACGTTGGGTAGCAGCAGTAACGTAGCAGGTCTTCAGGCACAGACACAAATATTGAACATCTGCTTCGGCTTTAGCTGAATGAAGTGTACTTCATTTTCCCCCTAAGACTGGTAAATAGTTTTTGCTCTGCCTTTCATAATCTTTTTTTGGACAAAGCAGTGCATATAAAATTCTCTTACTCTTTTCTTCCTTGAACGTATCCTCTGTAACTTGCTCAGATGCCTAATTATAGACTGGGACACTGTTGGTGTTCTGTCTTTACAAAAACATCCTTGAGGCTTCCCACCCAATTGGCTCCAGAGTAATTGGGGGAAGGCTTTGCTGTGATTGGGAAATAACTGGATCTTTGGAGGCCAGTGAGTCAGAAGGAAGGGTGATGAGAGGGCACTGCTGATAACACCAGGCAGGTACCAGGGAACAGCACGTGCTGCATCGCAGGGTTTGGAAGTTTTGGGTTGCCTGAAGGGTTTTTTTACAGGCATAAACCAGACAAGAGAAGAGTTTTTCCTTGGACATCTCGTCATCTGCCTGCTGAAGGAAGAGTGCCACAGCACATGGTCCCGAGGAACCTGTATGGGAGAGGAATACAGCACAGCAATCCTGTTAACCACAAAGGAGCTCGGTCTGGGCCTCCTGCTTGGCTGGTGCTGAGGCTGATAGACAGATGTGAAAGGTTTTCCAGAGGGCTGATGCTGAGCACTCCTGAAGCTTGGGCTGGTGAGTGCTTCCAGGCAGGGCTGGTGTCCTCAGTGGTTGGTGGAGAGGAGCTGCTGCACCCCAGCAGCATCACTGGGTTGTACCTGTGCTGTGGCCTGGGAAGAGAATGATCAGCCTTATTCTGGTTTAATGAAAAAGTTTAACTGTTGAGAGCAAAACCCAGCCTGCCATAGTGGTTCTGTTGTTCTTGGTGGTAGAGTTGAGAGGGTATTTTTAAAGGCAACGAGAAGTAACAAATCCCATTGAACACAGTTTTGGTTTGTTGGTTTTTGGTTTGTTTTTTTTTTTTATTTGCCCTTATTCATTAAATAATGTGTCAAATCTGATTTCCAAGGGTTGTTGTGATATTTGACTGCGTGGAAGTCAAAGACATTTGCCTGGTGAAGTGGATAAAGATTTCTTCCATCAAAACCAGGCTGGAAGCTTTCAACTGAGTGTTTTAGGGCATCTGAAACCTCGAAATACCAGGATTTGTATCGAATTTGGACCCCTGGAGTGTCATTCCTGTGGCAGAGGGGCAGGACAGGGTGTCCTGGTGCTCCTGCTCCTCACCTCTGCCGTGGTCTCTCTGGAGCTGCGGCTCCAGCTCCACCTCGGCTCCTGTAACCAGATCGACGTCACACAGCACTTCCTCCGGAAAATGACTTAATGTCTGCAGGAGCAGGACCCGGGAGAACTTCAGACTTCCAAAAATCATGATCTCATACTCCCCACTCCATGGGCTGCCAGCCCCAGGGGGGCTTCAGGTCCCTGGATGCCGCCTTGGCCGAGGCTGGAGTGTCCCCAGGCAATGCCTGGGAGCAAGGAATTTGGGCTGGAGAGAGGGAGGAGGCTCTCTTGTGGGTAGAGGTCACCCCTCTGGCACCCAGGGGCTGGAGGGGGGAAAAATGTCCAGGAGCTAGGCTCTGGCTCTTGGCATCTGGAGCACATCTCCCGCCTGGGACGTGGTACTGGTGGAGCTCAGGGTCCAAAGGCTCCTCCTGGAGATGCAGAGGTCTTTACACCCGTGTATGGGTCATTCATAGCTGGAAATCCAGTCCCAGGGGCATCTGCTCTCCTCTTGCCCCTTCCCACCACATTTACACCCTCGGAAGGGCTTCAGAAGAAGCACTGGGAGAAGTTCATTCAGTGAAGTGCAGTTTATAGTGTTTCCTCCCTAACAGCCTTATTTCAGGCAGAGGAATCCTCATCCTTGTTCTCCAGGCGCACCGAGGAGTTGCACTGTCACACTCCCCAGGCTAGAGCTGCTGCTGCACTGGGCTCTCCTTGGACAAGGTGCTTCCGAGCCAGCAGCCCCTGGGAAGCGCTGCTCCGAGGATGCCAAAGCCCCATCCCTTGTTCAGGAGACTGGTTTATAACCCTCCTTCCACTGGGCAGGGCCTGCTCACCAAAAGCCCTCCCGCCCTTCCTGCCCAGGCATCGGGCAGTGGAGATGAGAGCCGGGGGATCCGAGGACGATCACTGGGCTGGGCTGGGCAGGAGGGAGTCCCGGCAGCCTGCTGGGAATTGTTTTGCTCTCCGACAGGCACTGCCAGCCCGGCCGCAGACACGGGAGCAGGGAGCAGCAGGGCCTTATAAGGAAGCAAAATCCCTCAGCGGTTCTGAGGGACAGCGGGACCTGCCAGGGCCGCGCCTCAGCGCCGGCAGCGCGGAGCCACCGAGCCCAGCACGGTGGGAGAGCCCCCCGAGGCCATGGAGTGCACACTGTGCCCCATGGCCACCTTGTCACCAGCCCTGAGCTCTGAGTGCCACACCAGGAATTCCTTGGGCACCTCCAGGATGGGCACTCCGAACCTCCCTGGGCAGTTCCAAGGCCTAAGCTCCCTTTCCATGGGAAATTCCTGCTGGTGTCCAGCATGAGCCTGCCCTGGGTCATTCTGAGGCCATTCCCTCTTGTCCTGTCACTGTCCCCTCCTGTCAGGAGCTGTGCAGAGCCACAAGGTCCCCCCTGAGCCTGCTTTTCTCCAGCTGAGCCCCTTCCCAGCTCCCTCAGCCTCTCCTGGGGCTCCATTCCCTTCCCAGCTCCATTCCCTGCCCTGGACACGCTCCAGCCCCTCCAGGTCTCTTGTCAGGAGGGGCCCAGAGCTGTCCCCAGCACTGGAGGTGCCCCAGCACAGCCCAGGGCCATTGGCCTCTTGCTCACCTGGGCTCACCTGGATTCGTGTCCACACCCCAGCACCTTTTCCAGCATTCCAGCCCCTCTGCCCCGGCCTGGAGCACTGTCCGGTTCTCCCTGTCTGGGAATGTGGTGCTCGGGAGGTGTGGGTGCTCCTGCCCAGGTGAGCCAGGGATGAGCACAGGAGTTGCTGCCAGAGCCAGCCCAGGGAGCCTCACTGGGACTTCGGCCTGGGAGAAAGGAGCAGACCTGCAAAACCAAAGGAGGAAAAGCATCTGTGGGATTTTGGAGATGGCTTTTGCACATCCTTCCTCCCACAGTGGGTACCACATCCCACTCCTGTGGTGGGATAGCCAAGCATTCCATCCCACGAGGGCACCAGGGCTGTGATGCTGGGGAAGATAAGCCATCCTGCCTGGGTGCCACGCATCCCCCCAGGAGCTGAGCATCTCACCTTGGGGCCGGGCATCCCCCTGGATACAAACCGCCTTCCCTGGGGCTGGTCATCCCACCTTGATGCTGAGCATCCTCTCTGGGGGCTGAGCACCCCCGTGGCACGGAGCCCCGCAGCCTCATGCCATCCCTCCTGTCCCCGTGGCCACATGCCCGGCTCGCTGTCGCCGTGGCATTCCGGGTGCTGCCATGCTGCGGGAGCATCCCCGGAGCCGCAGCTCCCGAGCCGCCCGGCACGTCCCGGCCTTGTTTACTGCTGCCGTCCCGCTGCGGCGCTTCACCCAGCGCTTCCTGGGCTGGTGTCTGAAAATAGATATTTTTAACCTTTTAAAAATAGAAAGTCTCGCCGAACAGCGGCTCCTGTTTTTCCATTCCCTTCTCATTTCTTCTCAGGGCGACGGAACCCGAGGCGGGCGGCGCGGGGGTGGCGGGCAGGCGGCCCCGTAAACAGGCTCCTGCAAAAGGGGCACTGGGGAGAACACACGTGTGCCTGGAGAGCGCAGAGAAAGGTAAGAAAGACAGGGAGAGGAAAAAAAGCAACTAGAAAGGCCGGCCACTTTTCACACGGAGCCTTATTTGGTATTTTCATGAAAAGTTATATCTTCACACTGTAAAAAATGCCACTTATTACTCATGCTTTACTAGGTAAGTGTATTTTCCTTGGCAGCAAGCGCTCTGGGGTTTTTTTCTCACTTCACTACTCCCGTACAAGCTATTTCGAAGGTTTCATTAGTTTCTCCATCAGAGCTGGCGCTGCTGCCGCTGTCTGAGGCCGGGCTGTTAAGGCGAGACACAGCCGCTGTTTGTTCGGGACGCCTGGGGCTGTGAAACCCCGGCGCGGGGCCCGCAGCGCGCCCCTGCAGCCCGGGGACACGGCTGTCACCGTGCCACCCTGCCCCGCACTGCCCGTGTGCCCCGCCGGCCCTCCGTGCTGTGCGGCACCGCTGGGGACATCACTCTGTCCCCTGTCATGGGGTGCCACCCTGTGCCCTGGTCGCTACAGGTGCGTGGGTATCACCCCGTCCCCGTGAAGTGCATCGATGTCACCCTTTCTTCATGAGCACTGTGGAAAGGGAGATGCCACCCTCTCCCTGTTGTCACTGCGGTGTCACACTCTCCCTACACATGTGGATGTCACCAGTCCCCGTGCACTGCCTCTGCCTGGACACCAGCCACCCTAAGTATGGGTGTCACCATCACTATGGGCAGCCACCACCCCAGGGCCATCACCCTGTCCCCAAGACCGCGACGTGCCCGTGGGTGTCCCCGTGTCGCAGGGTCCCTGCAGGCGCACGGAGTGTCCCCTCCGCCAGCCCCGTTCCCCGGCGTGGGGACGGGAGCGGTGGCACAGCCCTGCCAGCCCCGTGCCCGTCGTGCCGGCCACCGCCGCCCCGGGCCGCCTGGCCGCGCTTCCCAGCCGCTCTAAAAGCCAGCTTTGTGCTTTGCAGCCAGGCCCTCGCTTGGCACACGATTTTAATTAGAGTCTGGTTACACGGCTCGGCAGATGTGGAATGTATTTCTTAGCCCAGGTGGAATAAATCTATTGCCATAAAAACCAACCCCCCTGTTATTAAATTCTCCCTTCTAAATAGCCCAGTATTGAGATGCACGGCCCCCCGGCCCCCCCGCCCACTCCCCCTCAATGCAAACCCTTTTCTAAGTGCTTAATGAGCTTTAATTTTATTATATTCCCTGGCTGCACGGAACCGGCTTCTGGTTCTGGCGCAGGTTCCCGGCTACCGGCCCCTCTGGAGGGGTGCAGGGGCTGCCCAGCCCCATGGCCGGGGTTTGGGGTGGCCACAGGGCTGTCCCCTGCCCTGCAGCAGCACGGGCTGCTCGGGCTGGGGGCGCTCGTCGCGTCCCCCCGGTGACAGGGGACAGGTGCCCGCGGTTTGGAGACCCGTGGCTGCTGGCGGAGTGCAGGGAGCGGCCGTGAGGTGCCGGTACCCCAGGGACAGCCCTGCCCTTGGCGGGTCCCTTGCGGTGCGCGGGATGTCCCCGGGGATGCGCAGAGGGTCTGGCTCGGTGCCATGCCCCAGGGGACAGGCGTTGTCTCGCCGGGATGTCGCCGCAGCTGCAGCAGCCCTGCCCTCGCTGGGAGCGGGCTGAACGGGGGGACACACCCGCCGGGGCACTGCACCCCCTTCCCCAGGGAATTCCCCAGGGGCACCCCGAGGAGGGGGCATCTCGTCACCCACACTCCCCTCCATTGCTCTGAGCTGTGCCATGGCCGGGGCTGGCGACTTCAAAACTCACTACAGGGGGAAAAACCGCCCAGGAAGCAGCGTCTGCTTCCCAAGAGCCCATCGCTCCCAGCAGGGACCGCGGGCTGCAAAGGGGAGCAGACTCTGCCCTGCTGGCATCAAAGCAAGGAGCAGAGCCCAGGCCAAAGCCTGGACAGCTTTGTCACACACCTCAACGCTCTCTTGAGCCTCTCAAAAAGCTCCAGGATGTCTAAAAACTGAAACAAACAAGGAGAGAGGAAAAAGTGGAGGACATGGGAGAGGAGCATACACAGAGTCCATCCCATAGGATCATCAGGATGCTATTTCCCACAAGTCTTCCACGGACATCCCCCCCTGCATCCTCCCTAACCACGGTGTTTGAAGAACAAAATCCCAGGATTTTTGCTTGCAGGAGATTCCTCCTCCCTCCCCTTACCTTGGGGAAAGGGAATAAAACCGCAGGCCCTGCGAGGAGCGGAGCCTGAGCCCTCCCCACCAATTCCCAGCTGGGAGACTTGGCCGTGGGCTCCCCCAGGACTTTTCCCCCAGCTGGCCTCTCCTCTGGCCCGCTGGCTGGGAATTTGCAGCCACTTCTGTGCCAAGGAGCTGCGGATGACGTTATCCCCCCTCCCCAGGCCAGGTGTGGGGAGCACGGCTGCTCCCTGGGGATGCAGAGCTCCAGGGGCAGGAGGGGCCGTCCCCAGCATGAACAGGGACCCCAGGCTTGGGGACAGCAGCACCCCAAGCTTGTCCTGCAGCCCCGAGCCGGGATCAGGCTGCTCTGCTGCTGGAATCCCCAGAGGAAAGAGCAGGGAGCCAGAGCTGAGCTGTGGCTGCCTGTCCCAGCTCTCAGCACTTCTCCACTTGCAGCCCAGCATCTGTCTGTCCTGGGAGACACCGGGTCAGCCAGACATCCCCACCCCAACCTGCACGTGTGCTGCCGGGCCAAGGAACAGAGCAGAACTCAGCTTTTGTGATCTCACAGAGGAAATTAACAACTAGAAAGCGTTCAATTGCCATTTCAAAGGCAAAACCTTCCTCAAAATCCTTTTGGATGAATTAGGGTTATCGCTGGCCTTGCCCTTTTTGGGGAACAGGGTCAGCTTGGGCCAGCATTTGGTGAGGCTGATCCAGAAATCCAACTCCAGTCCCGTGACCTCTTGCTTATTAGCAGGTCAACACCACCTGGAGAGTTTGCCCTGGAAATTTTGGGTGTCTCTCAGAGCCTGGGGGTTGCTTAGATGAAGAGCCACATTTTATTCATCTCTAATCAATCTTTTTGTTCTTTTTGGTAAATCAAACTCATCTCCAAAGGCCAATGATCCATCCAAAGGCAGCAAAGCCCTTGGCAGTTTTCCCTGGACACCTCTTGGCCCAGGGGCTGACGGCTGAGTGGTGCAGCCGTGGGCAGGTACTGAAAGCCTCCACCACCTGTGGATCTGGCTCTTCCTGACTTCCAGGGAAGTCATGGAGGGAAGGACAATGTGCAGCTCTCCTCTGTGTCTGTCCAGGCCATTCCAGGTTCCCCCTGTACAGGAGGAGCAGGAGCCCACGCTGGTGTCTGTGGAACTTCTCGGGATGTGCTAAAAGCAGCTTGGAAGGGGATCAGTATTTCCATTCATTTTCCAGTGCCAATCTTCCTGCCACACAACGGGAGCCGGAAGCCTGACGGGGTTTGGAGGAGCCCCCGTGGGTCCCTCTGCAGCCCCCTGCCAAATCCTGCTTGCAAGCTTCTGCCTCAGGCAGCCCTCAGTGAGCAAAACTCCCCTTTCCCAGGTTTTCCTGTGAAAACCGCAGCCTGCAGCACTCAGCACCAGGCTAAAAACAGATGTATGGACAGGTAGGGTAAAAAAAAAATTAAGCCCCCTAATTTTGGCCTGTTTGGATGGACACTGACATCACAGGTGGTGCCGGGGGGAACACTTGCCTACATTTCCCATCCAGACAGTTTTCTTGGACACTGCCTGTCCACCAGCTGCAGGTCCTTTTCGGACCTGTGGGTTTAATGCCTTGTGGTTCCCCTTGCCAGGAGGCTGGAGGATGGATTGCTGAGGTTATCCTGGAGTTTAGCCCTGAGTGGAGCTCTTTGTGGGTCTGGTACCACAGGGGCTGGGGAAGCTGTCAGTGCTCACCACTCAAACTCAGCCCTAAAGCTGGAAGAGGAGCCAGTCTGGGGTGCAAGAGATGTGGCCAAGCTCTTTTTCCCCACCCCTTGTCTCTGTATCTAATGGGTCCAGCAGGATTGTTCACATTGTCCGTGCAGCTGGGAGGCAAAAAGAGGTGTCTGGGCCAAGCAGTCCTTCTTACTTCATTTTCAACTGTTTGCAAAGCCCCTGATCAGACGACCCAGATGGTGCTAAATGGCCATGAAGGACCATTAGACAGTGGGTCATTGTCGTGCTCCTTGAGTTAGATAATTGTGATGGGCCTGAACTAATTAATTTCTACCCAAAAAAGTAGCACTGAATCATGGTCTTTTGGCAACACTGGTGAGAAGGACTTGTAGTCAGTTTCCTTTGGATTTATCCAGCCTGTACAAACAGGGATCTCTGCTGGAGCCACACACTTCCATGGCCGAAAACCAGGGGAGCAAGCAAAGCCTCGCAGAGGTTCAGTCAAGGCGGATCTCCCTCATCCATCCCACGGGGCAGGAGAGCCACGGGACAATCCACCAGCTCCTTTGTGCCACGGGTCTGTCCCACCTCCCCTCTGGAATGCCCACGTTTGGGAATGGGCCGAGGCCAGGCATCCTGCAGGAGGAAAGGGCCTCTGGGGCTGCGCTCGTGCCATGCCAGCCACATTGCCTCCATCCCTCCTTCGGCTCCAGCTGCCACCTCCAAGGATTTCCCTGGTTTTCTCATCACCCCCTTCTCAGCACCAACCTTCCAGGAAGCCAGGGGCTTTTTCCAGTGTCCAGACAGTCCTGACTTGCTGGCAGAGCTTCTCTCTGCAGGGATTTCTTTGTTTCCTGATTCTGGGGGTGTTGAGCTTTGACAAAGCTGGAGACAGGGAA